TAGGTAAGTAGAGGATATTAAGAGAAGATGTACAAGCAATCATCCCAAAGAGTAAAAACATAATTACCTATTTAAGTCTGGGAATTAAAAGGAGAAAATTTTCATGTGAGTCTATTGACATCGTGAACAAAAAGAGATTCAGCAAAAGCTATTCTTTTCAGGGAATGTTGTGGGAATGGACAGTCTAGAACAGTTCATTGGTTGGTCCACAAAGATGGATAAATAAGATGGAGTCAGACAATGGCAGAAGAAATACAACATGGGGAATGAGGCAGACACCATCCCAGTCTTTGAGGATTTCTTGCCTAAGAGAGATAAATATAAGCAGAACTTACAGGAATAAAACAGGGCTCTTCTAGGAACATACTGAGGTGCATCTAAACCTGGAAAGTGGGGGGAGCCCTGGAAAGACAGAAAATTTCATGTTCAACAGCCCTGGATGGGGACCAAGAACATTGCAAGTCTACATTTCTGAGTTCCTCTCTAGAGTCTACCAGTAAGGCAAGCTGGAAGGCAAGTCCCAGTGGCAATTGTGGCTTAAAGGAAAGGCTTGGTGTTACAGGGCAGGGAGAAGGGAACCGCTGAACCCCCAAACCTGCCTGCTCTGAATGGGTTCTGCCATCCGCTGCATCAAGACAAAACATGTAAGACTTTAATGAAAAGGAACTTTCATACAGTGAACCCACAACACAGAAGACAAAGAATATAATTTCTAAAACAAACACCTGAAGTTACCCATCCCCTCATGGGCAAGAGTCAACCCAAAAGGGATTGGTCCAAAGCAGGACCTGAAAGCGTGCCACAAGACTTAAGCACCTTCTGGCCGGGATCCATAGAAAAGGGTCAGAAATGGCCAGACAAATCTGGGAGGAAAAGAGCAAAATGAAAATCAATATAAACACTGCCATAGTCACCTCCCTACAGATCCTCACTCACATCTGCCTTAACCAGTCCAGGGCCAAGAAATAAGCACGGTTTCTTTATCATACGCTTGCTGCTCCATGTGGCTTCCTCAGGTCTCCTTCTGGCTCTCCATCCTGCTTCCTTTTCTCCCTTCAGATTCCTTCTCCTCTCCTTTTTTTTTCTCTGCTCAGCTCCACCCTCCTTCTGGGTGGGGCAGGGAACCTGAAACTTCCCCTTTTCCGAGGGACCACCCTGTTACATTGGGAGTCCAAGCCAGGCCAGTTCTAGTTCAGCCATTACAAGCTGCAAGACCTTGAGTTTCTTCAACTGACTTTTCTTATCTTCAAGTGGAAATCATAAAATATTTCCATGATTCTAAGTGATTGTGAGATCATTTTATAAGAAAATTTCAAGGTAAGAGTGAGGAAAGAAATATGTATCAATTGTTGTGTATTTCCTGATTTCAACAATATGAAAACATAAAAACACACACATCATCAAATTGAGGAAACATAATGATGTGTAATTTCCAGGGTTGTTTGTGAGAATTAAATGAGATTATGTATAAGATATGCTATGGACTGAAAGTTGATGTCCCTGAAAAATTCATATACTGAAATCCTAACACTCAAGATAGTAGTATGGGGTGGAGCAGCGTATCTGAAGGGTAATTAGACCACGAAGTTGGAGTCCTCTAAAGTAGGATTAATGCCCTTAAAATAAAACACAGGAAAGTTTGTTCTCTCCCCTTCTCCATGTAAGGATAAAAGGAGAAAGCAGCAGTCTATAATAAGGTAGCTGTCCTCACTAGACACTGGGGGTCCTGGTGCCTTGATCTTATGATTCCAGCCTGTAGAACTGTGAGAAATATTTTTTTATTGTTTAAGTCACCCAGTCAGTGGTGTTTTTTGCTATAACAGCCTGACTAGACTTTGACACACTATGTTACTCGCCACTGCCTTTGCATGGCCCAGCCTTGATTTAAGTAAGTGGGCCTGTCATTTAATCTTGGAATCAAATTTTTCCATGAAAGTAATATTTAATAAGTGGATATATCATTATTTTTGTTAAATATTTATTTATGGGCCCACCCTGATGGTGCAATGGGTTAAAGCACAACACTAAGAAGCTATCGCAGTCACTACAGCATGAGTTCAATCCCTAGTCAGGGAGGTGACCACATGGCGTGGCAGACCTCTCCTGACCTGTCCACTGCTCCCCTCAGCAGTGTACTTCAGTTATTCCTCCTGTTCAGCTCCCTACTCTCTCTGATGAATCCTCTCACCCCACACACTTCTAGCCTATACCCCCAGTTTATGCCTACAGAACTGGGTACAGGCCAGAGGAGCAGGGGCAGTGAAAGGATTCGACAGAGACAGAGTGGGGAGCAGAACAGGCAGACTGACAAAGTACACTGCTGAGGGGAGCAGCTGGTGAGACAGGAGAGGTCTGCTGCGCCATGTAGGTCACCTCAGGAGCCGGGGGTGGAAGTGCACTGAAGCAGCTGTGGCTAGCTTGCAGTGTGCTGCGCCCCTAACCCTCCCCTAACCCTTGTGCCACCAGGGAGGGCCAGTCTTAACATAAACAGAGACTTTCAGAACCAAAAGGAAATTTAAATGTTAGTGAATTATATCCTTAATGTTTACAATAGAAAATATCAGAGGATCAGAGAAATATGTGGCTTTTCTATTTAATTTGGTTATTGGCACAATTGAAACAGAAAGAGGATTTTTTTTTAAGGTGGAGCTGTTAGTAAATATGGTTAGTTACAGTGAAATATTGGGATTGGTTGTGTAATTCAGTTCATCAGACAACTGTAGAATGCCAGTTCCCAAAAATGAGCAATGCATTTGCAACAGTGCAGCACAAGGCTAAACTGATTTAGGCCATGGCATTGAAGTTGCGGGGATGAAGGGCACATGAGAAATGAATATGTGCCAGATCCCAACATTTTAGTGGAGCGTCCTCCCCAACAGGGAAATTAAGCTTATCCTTAATGACAAAGTTGCAGTTTCTTCTGGATAGGTAAAGATTTACAAAACCTTCTAAGAAACTCCCCACACCCCCAAGCAATTTACCTTGGTCTGAAAATGACAAAGCAGAGTGGCTCTCAGGCATGACTGCTAGCCAGGGACAGGTGTGTTTACAGTAAAATGTAAGAGGTTATTACCTCCCTTCAGACACCAGAAGGCTGGGCTGGGCTGGGCTGGGCTGGGCTGGGCTGGGCTGGGCTATGTTGGACTGGGCTGGACTGAGAGATGACCATGCTAGATTCTTAAGAAATGCATTCCATCACAGACCTACTTATACCCATTCCGCAGCATCTCCAACGTGATGCTGTAACAACTTTCTGGAAGGTTTATCAAAAGGTTGCTGGGCAGTTTCCAGCTCATTAAGGGCTCTATCTATAGAAGGCAGATTAGGACAGGGCTGGCACCATTTCCCACCTGGGGATACAGACACCTGGTTAAATAATTACTCTAAGCTCCCTGTAGCTTCAAGGAAGTAGAATCAGGTCTGTTAACTCTGTCGTGCACTATCTGGCACTAAGTTAACCTGCTCTTCGACCTTAAGAAAAATTGGAAGCAGGGCAATGCTGATGGGAACAGTTGCAGTATTTTAAAGCTGAATGTAAGATATGCGATCTATGTTTATCATCACTTTAATTAGTTCTCGCATATGCATGTTATTATGCTTATTTGACTGATGCAGGATGGAAAAGGAAAACATAAGTCAGTTGCTCAGAGTGGGGAGTCTGATGAGCGAATGAGCCGTGGATATCACCACAGAGTGCTGAATCCGAAAGTTCTGGGCGGTTCTGGCTATTGTGGGAAGAACATCGCCAGGCCCTTCGCCGCAGGTCTGACTGTGATAGATTCGTTTCACTTAGGCATCAAACCACTGCGAGGGCTGCAGCTTTTTCCTGCCTTGACCCGCCTGCCGGCGCAGCTCCATCACACCGTGACTGACAGACAGTACGGCTACACGCCTCGCGCTGCGGCGCCTCCAGGTCTTTGTTTCGAGTACCAGAGAGCCAGAGAACAGCGGGAGGCGTGACTTCAATATTCAAAGCGTTTTTAAAACAAACGATTTCCTAATTTGTATCTGTTTCCTGTCAGCGTGAAAAGAGCTGCAAGCCTTTCTTTCTGCCCATCGCCACCCACCCTCACCTACCCTTCTCTAGCAGCCTCTCTGGGCCTCCCCTCACCCACCCTTCTCTAGCAGCAGAGAGAGAACAGTCTAGCAGACGAAACAGCCAAGACCGCGGGTGGGAGGTTGTTCTGCAGCTAGTGGCTGGCTTTGCAGAATGTGGAGATCTCCCCATTCATAAACTAGCATCCCAGCTCACCTACTTCCCGCCCTCCCCACACCGACCCAAGCGCAGTGTGGGGAGGGTTGTTGGGTCCAGGATGCGCGGTTCCTGGGGGCTATGGGCCTAAAGTGGGGCGTTCTGCCCTTCATCAATCAGGAAGTCCCATTTTTAAAATCCCATCTCGGGTCTTCACTGTCTTTACACACGACTGACATCGACCGAGGACTAACACTCTCATTTGTAAAGAAGGGACAAAACGGCTTTGAATTCAACCTATCAATAAAACCTTACCCTTTGACTTCAGGCTGTCCGACATTTTGTGATTTTCATTTTTTGGTCTTGTCATTCATTTAGGAAGCGGCGGTCAAACCACGTTACCTCTCCATTTGTAAACATCTGGCCTTCTAGGTCCCAGTCTTTTACCCATTTATGGTGCTGGGTGGGGGGCACAGAAGTAGGCAAGGAAGACTATGGCGGGGGTGGGGCGGGACGTGGGGATTGTGCTAATTCAAGATGCAATCTCCATCCAAATAATAGACTATTATTAACAATGATCCACATTGCAAAACCCTCAAAACTGCCCCTTGACTCCCCTAGCAGCAAAAGGCGAGCCCTTATTCGCTGAGCTGACGCCTCCTCTTCCCCTCCTTCCTTGCCTCTCCCCCTCAGCCTTCTCCACTACTCTCTGCTCTGGAAATTACAACTCCTCAGCGCGCCTGGCAGGGAGGCGGTAGTGGTAGCAGCAGGAGGGAGGCGGGGAGGGGATTCCCGAACCTGCCGGGCGCTTGCCCTTCGCCCGCCGGCTGCAGCGTGGCGCGGCCAAGGTCAGAGGCGCCGCAGGAGAAGCAGCTGCCAAGCAAAGAAGGTGGTCATCCAGGCGCTGAAAGAAAGCCTCAGGGCGTAGTCGGCGGGTAACGTCAGACGCTGGGACAGAGGCGATCTGAGGTCTCCGGGCAGGCCGGGTCGCGCCAGGGAGTCGCCGCGCTAGGAACTGAGGCTCCACCTTTAGTCTCTATGGCGCTGTCCGCCGCCTCGTGGTGCTGAACCCAGCTCCTCGGCCCAGCGGCCTGCTGGTCTGCCTTCTCAACTGCCGGTCGCCCTGACTGGGGGGTGGGGTGGGGGCTAATAAGGGTCTTTGGGCAGCTGCCCACCCACCGGAGCCCAAGGATTAAGAACCGAGACTTAGCAAACAGCATCCCGGCCGCTGGTCCTGATGTGAAGAGGAGACTGCAGCCAGCGGCGGCGCTAGTGCTGATTCATCACCTAAAGAGCTTTGCAGGCCACCCGGAGGGCAACAGACCGACTCCAGACTCTGGTCGCAGGGTGAAGTCGCGGGTGCAGGAACCTTGCGGATAGAAGGTGAGGACCCCCTCCCTTCTCTTACCTCAAATTGTCTAAGGGCGGTGGCTCCAGAACAGAGAGGGGCGTGCCCCTGGGTTGTGAAGTAGTCATGCCCGTGTGATGCCCCCGCCTTCCATCTCACCGGAGCTACCCACTCTTATTCACTGCCTGTTTCCGAACCTTGAGCCATTCCACGCTCTTCTCTGAATACCGTGCCACGATGGAAGAGGAACTGAAGTGCCCCGTGTGTGGCTCCCTGTTTCGGGAACCCATCATCTTGCCCTGTTCCCACAACGTCTGCCTGCCTTGCGCGCGTACCATCGCAGTGCAGACTCCGGACGGTGAGCAGCACCTGCCCCAGCCGCTCCTGCACTCCCGGGGCTCAGGGCTGCCCGCAGGCACCGCCGCCGCGCCCTCCCTGGACCACGACGCAGCAGCTGGCCCAGCCTGCAGCGGCGGGAGCGGGACCACAGCTGGCGGCCTGGGCAGTAGTGCGGGAGGTGGCGGGGACCACGCGGACAAGCTGAGCTTATACAGCGAGACAGACAGCGGCTATGGCTCTTACACCCCCAGTCTCAAGTCCCCCAATGGGGTTCGCGTGTTGCCCATGGTGCCTGCACCGCCAGGCTCCTCGGCCGCGGCGGCTCGGGGTGCAGCTTGCTCCTCGCTGTCGTCGTCCTCCTCAAGTTCCATCACTTGCCCACAGTGCCACCGTAGCGCCTCCCTGGACCACCGCGGCCTGCGAGGATTCCAGCGTAACCGCTTGCTAGAGGCAATCGTGCAGCGGTACCAGCAGGGCCGCGGGGCCATGCACGGGGCGACCCCAGCCGTGGCGGTGGCCATCTGCCAGTTGTGTGACCGCACTCCTCCCGAACCAGCTGCTACACTCTGCGAGCAGTGCGACGTGCTCTATTGCGCTTCCTGTCAGCTCAAATGCCATCCATCTAGGGGACCCTTTGCTAAGCATCGCTTAGTGCAACCGCCGCCGCCTCCCGCTCCTGCCGAGGCCGCCTCAGCGTCCCCAGGCGCGGCCCAGGGCGCCCCCAGCGGAGGAGGCGGCTGCAAGAGCCCGGGGAGCGCTGGGGCAGGGGCCGGAGCAGCTGGGGGCGGCACCGCACGCAAGTTCCCTACTTGCCCGGAACATGAAATGGAGAACTACAGCATGTACTGCGTGAGCTGCAGAACGCCGGTGTGTTACCAGTGCCTGGAGGAAGGCCGGCACGGCAAGCACGAGGTGAAGCCTCTGGGGGCCATGTGGAAACAGCACAAGGTGAGCGCCCTCTGGGCTCCCCGCGGGAGAGGGTACAAAAAAATTGTGAGAGAAAGAATATTGGTTCTTTCTTCCACAGTAGGCAGGGGGTCAGTCCGGGGGTCAAGCAGAGATCCATTTTCCCCTCTTCCCAAACTCAGTTGTTTGACACACACATAAACGAGCTCCCGGTACTTTTAATGTGTTGTGAATGGGAAGGGTTTGGAATAATGACATACTGGGTTCCCGCTTCCCTAAGATTTTATCTTTCTACACTAAGGGCATCTAGAACTAGAAATAGGACTCTTGCACTTCTAACGTTGACGAATAAATTTCCTGATGCCCCTTCTGATTTATGCCATGCAGGGACCCGGCCCTGCCCACCCTCCCCTTAAAGGTGTTTTTTAAGTGCACACGTTACCGTTTACATGTAGAAATAAAAAATGCCTCCTGGCCCTTGGTTGATCTGCTCTGGAAGCAGGAAATGTCCTAAACCAACCTTTAGTGAAAGGATACACTGTTTTCTCCACAGCTGAATTCCCAGCAGCTTCCAGAGCAGAAATTTTCCTACTCTCACCTAGTCTTCAGCACTTTCTACCCCAATTGAATTGCCTGACATCTGAAAGGGATGATTTAATTGTTCATGGGCTTTGTCTGAGGATTCAGGTGTGTAGCCTTTTAAGAAGGGAGTATCATTTTCCCCCAGAGATCTCTTACTGAGACCATAGAGCTCATGGCAGTGGGAGTGTGGTGGAGTCACAGAGTAAGCTTTTAGTAGGACAATTAAGTGCACTTTCATCTGCACACTGCTGTAAGCCTCATTGGTTTGCAGCAGCCCATGGGAATGGAAGAGGCTCTAGAGGCAACTTTCATAAACTCACGGCTGTCAGTGTGTCTTCCTATGTGACATGTAGAGAAAGAGAAAAGGTTTCAAAGTCAGGTCAGGTCCCAAAGCAAGAGTTCTAACACACATACACCTCAACTTTCCATCAAAGGACACACCAGACACACTGGGGTTTGAGGTCCATGATCCAGCCAGCGAGAATTAAGGTCCCTTGTTAAATGACCCCAACTGCATCTGCAAGTCTGAGTTCCTATTATTCATTTTTTAAAAAGATTTATTTATTTATGCATACCAAACTGGGATACAGACCAGAGGTGCAGGGGCGGTGAGAGGATTCACCAGAGACAGAGTGGAAAGCAGAACAGCAGACTGACAAAGTACACTGCTGAGGAAGCAGCAGGCGAGACAGGAAAGGTCTGTGGCACCATGTGGGTCACATCCCTGGCAAGGGAATCGAACTTATGTCCAAGCGGCTGCCAATAGCTTTGCAATGCTGTGCTTTAACCCATTGTGCAGGGAGGGCCTGCACCTGTTATTAAATATCTTCTTTTCCGTAAACTTTCACCCTGCAAAAAGGCAGGAGGCCTCCAGATTTCCCAAAAAGAATACAATATTCTGATTGACATAGGAAAATAAAGTATTTTGCACAGCTATCTTGTATCTTCCAACTGGAAATGAACAACAAAGGGAGCACAGATGAGAGAAGAAGGGACTAACCATCCCTACTGTAGTTTTATTGTAGTTAACTACAAATATTTTCAGTTGTTACATTGTGTTATTGTAACTTAAGACTTTCAAATAAAATATTAGAAAATAAAACAAATGGGGGAATTTGTATAATGGGTCAGAAGACCGGTTCTTTGGAGCCAAAGCCCTAATTCTAGAACAAAATGTTTAATTCTGGAAACAATTCTTTTCTCCTTGGGGACATTGGCTAATATCTAGAAATATTTTTGGTTGCTACTCCTAGGGGGTACTATGGCAGCCAGTGGGTAGAGGCAGAGGAAAACTCTTCAAAGCCATTACACAGTCACAAATGTCAATATGCAGATACTGAGAAGTCCTGCTGTGCGGTTATACAATTCTGGACCCAATTCTAAAGGCTTTTAATTCACTTGCTCTAAGTGTTTCGACACAATTTAAAACCTACTCAATAATACTATCTATCTCAGATCATTCTTGTAAAGAATAAGTAAATACCGTTGAACTTCTAGTACATTACTTGACCCACCGAAACCAATATATGTTATTTCTTGTATATAAGAAATATGTTATTTCTTGTATATAAGAAATATGTCATTTCTTATATAGTCTTCATACTTATAATTGCAAGACTTGCAGAAAGTTACAGGGCAGCAGCAAAAGTTGTTAATTTGACTCAATTGAGTTGGTTACCTAGAGAAAACAGCTGGTGACTTTTGGTATTGCTTAATCTGAGTCCTGAAATAGCTTTGAACTAAATGAAGATGTCTGACTTGAGTTGATTGTCATTCATATCACATTTTGTTGCATATTGCTTCACAGTAATTGTAGCTGCTTTGCTTATTTCATCTTTCCAGTAAAGAGACATCACTCTACATATAAAATCTCTTGCAAAGAGGCTATGGTCATTGTCCAAGGCAAGGAGAACAGGTTTACATTAGGATTTTACGGCTGCTAAATTTTCACAACCTAGAAGACCAAAACGAATTCTGGGTGTTACCATTCAAATCTTTAAACTTAATGAAGATTGGAAAGCAAAATGAGTTGAGATGAGAGCTTGCCATCTTAACAGAGATTAAGTCTCTTATGAGAAAAGTGAGTTGGGTAATGAGCTATGTTTTCAATAACCAAGGTCATGCAGGGAAAATCATTAGTCATCCTTAACATGGTGTCAGCAGTAGTTTTATAAGATTTCTATCCTGCAAAATTATGGAAAGCATATGTGACGTTTAGTGAAGTGGGACAACTATCTGGGTAGTGGGGTAATATATCGATGAGGAAGCTATCATCTCAGTTTTTACCTATTGCCTTTACTTCAAGGAACAAAGATCATTCTTCTAAACTCAGAAGGACTGGTATGAGACACTTTTGTGAAAACCCATTTTCAAAAATGAATAAAAGCTCTGCTGTTCTCTTTCAGCAGGTGCTGTTTTTCCACAGAAAGGGAAATTATTGAGTGCTTACTATGGGCCTCTCTGCTAAAGAGGCAATGAAAAGAAAAGATAAAGGAGGGTTGGTGGAGCCTTTTGTCATCTTCTGTGGAAAAACACGTAGTGCTGTGACTGTGAGGGTGGCTGCTTTGGAAAGTTATATGTTAACATTCACTTTCAGTCCTGCTGTGGCAATTTTAGTTTCTTAATAAAACTAATTAAAACTAAGTCTCTGGTGTGTGTGTGTGTGTGTGTGTGTGTGTGTGTGTGTGTGTGTGTGTGTGTGTGTGATACATTAAATTCCCAGAAGCCATGGCAGAGGCTTGTTGCTCTAGTAAAGCTAGAGTTGGGACAGGAACACTTTCTGAACATTGCTGTGAGAGGAGAGACTTTCATCAAAACTTTACTTGAATTCCTCTCTGGCATGACTGGAAACTGTCATCTACTTAGTGATTCTAGGTAAAGAGATATAGAGGTGACACTGAAATCTATTTTAAAATCAGATTGATTGTCACCTTTTAAAAACAGTGTAAGATGTTTAAGAGGTAGCTAAACACATTGTTAGATGATTCTTCTGGAAGAGAATTTCCAATCAAACAACTTCTGGTGCAAAGAAACTATAGGTTGTGGAAAATAGAACAGGAAAGGGAAGCTTTCCATGAGCACTTTTGTTGTTCCTTCTGATTCTGGAATTCTAGTTTTCCCTACGCAAGGAGGATGGGTCTCTATGTGTTGTGTTACTTCCCTGGTGTGATGTCACAGAATGTCAACAATGCCTGTAACTCCTGTTGGGTATAGATAACCCATCCAGAATGAAATGGGTAGAAGCTGGAAATAGATAAATAAAATGGGTAGAAGCTTATGCTGAACTGATGTATGGAATGCTGGATAAGCCCTACATCAGAAGTCCTTTGAACACCATGGAGAACAGGTGAGTTTTAAAACAAAAGCTCATGGAAATCCTGTGATGTCTCCCAATGAGTCAGCACTTCCCAAAAACAAAGATGGTGAGGCCTGAATTCCCAAGGAAGAGGGGATTTCAGGTCACTCCATGTCTTGAGGACCTGCCAAAAGCCACTTGTCTTCTCAGCAAACTGGTGTTATCTGTCCTATATAAACATGAGGGCAGGATTTTAGCTTTGAAAGTCTCAAAGGAAAAGAGTTCCTCCATGAGGAGAGATGACATATGAAGGACAAAGGCAGAAGACGTGATTAGAGCTGTCCTTTGATCCTCTGTATGCTTATTTGAATACTTATAATGCTTTAAACATAAATTATAAGTGTTCATTACTAAAAACTAAAATTACATATATAGAAATGTAGAAATTAATGGGATCTCCAAATTACAACTAGTAGAGAAAAGCATTCTAAATGCTACAGTTTTTCTTCTAGAATTGTATTATACATTTACTTTATAGCTATTTTTTCTTTATTTTTTGAAGATTTATTTATTTATACAAACAAGAACTGGATATAGGCCAGAGGTGCAGGGTCTGGAGAATGGGGTGAGAGGATTCACCAGAGACAGTGGGGAGCAGAAAAGGCAGATCTGTTAAATACTGGCTGAAGGGAGTAGTGGATGGGACAGGAGAGGTCTGCATGTGGGTCACCTCCCTGGCTGGAGATCAAACTCATGCTGCAATGGCTGTGGATAGCTTCATAGTGCTGTGTTCTAACCCAGTGAACCATCAGGGAGGACTCAAGTATTTTTTCTTTAAAACCACAATATAAACATCTTTCCTGTCAATTGGTGTACATCCTTTTTGATGACTGCATGTCATTACATCATAAGGATTTATAATTTTATTTGCTTGACACCTTAATACTGGACTTCAGTTTGTTTTCAGTCTTTTGCCATTATAATATAAACACTTTTCTAGCTAAATAGAAACCTGTACTCTTAATTATTTCCTTAGGTTAAAATTTTAACTATGAACTTTATATTCTATATCAAATGATTTCTTGCTTTAAGACATCTGATTAATGTTTTCAAATTGACTGCTTGAAGTTTAAACTTACTTTTTTCCCCACCAACAAAATTGTAT